AAGGCACTCATCTTGTTGCCCCTCCCCCTCCCTGTGTAGCTTTCAGAGCGCTCGCTGGTACAAGAGGAGAGAGAAAGCGCATGAGACAAATACCTGTAACTGTATTCGTACTTGATGGATACTAAAAATATTTGCTTCTCGTGACTCGCGAAGTGTCATGCGCTAATAGTGAGACAATTCTGTTATACCTCAGAAAAGCATTGCAGGGCCCCTTTAATTTTACTGGAAGTGGGTGTTTTTACTTTAAGGAAAATCGAAGAAACAGGAATGGTAGGAGTGTTTACCGGTTTGGAAATACCGGTATGCTACCCTACACTATAGGTGAAGGGATGGGGGAGTCTGAAAGCTTTAAGCAGAGTGAGCTTAAAATTCGCTGTGCTTGAAGGTAGTAGGCTGCAGATAGGGAGAGGATATTACGGCTGCACATACCTACAAAGACCTGTTTGCAGACTCGTTCAACAGTTTATGGCGCAAAACAGGGGTTTTGGTAAGGGCACGTGTTCCTAATCCTGATGATCACCACGTACTTTAACGTGCAAATGTCTGCGTCCGTATACTGTGGTGGTGAATAGATACTTTTCCAATGCTTGTTGTTATTTTTTGCAAATGTGATGCCATGCATATTTTGTTCACAAGTACTCGAAAGTGAAAACAGTGCTGTGGCCCTGTGGTTCACTTACGACACTGACAAATCTCAGAGGTGTAGGAATAAGGAAGAAAAAACAGAAAACGAAAACAGGAATATTTCTTTCATATTCATTTCTGTTTAAGCGTTAGCCAATATTTTCATTTTGTTATTGCAGTTTATTATGTTTCAAGGGGTCGTTATCACAGCCTTAGTTCTCACACGTCTTCGATAATTTCATCCCAGTAGTCTGCATATGCGCAATGACAACGAGCTGACTCCCGACGCAACCACAGTTATAGACACGTGTCATTTTTACTGTTCATCATCATAATCATCATCATCATCATCATCATCATCATCACCACCACCACCACCACCACCGTGCGCCCGCTGTCGTTTATTACCCGCTCGAACGCTGCCTGCATGCCTAAGCGCCAATCTTCATCCCTTAGACGAGACCACACTTAGCCAGCCAGAACATGGTAGCATACGATCGTTACAGTCTTTTCTACTATACGCTAACATCATTTCCGATCCTTACATATAGTTATAGTGGGTTGAACGGCTGCATCCGTGGCGTCTGTGTGCGTAGTCGTAAAAGCCGGTCAACAAGCCATTACCAAGTTTTGGGGTTGCCCTGGCGTCACCTGCGCCTCTTTCGGGTGCCGCGTTGTCCCGCGACGAGTTTGCCCGCGCAGGCAAGGCCAGGGTGAAGCGCCGTACACGCGCAGTTAAGCAAGTGTGCACACCACCGTCGACGACACTGCCGCCCACGATTAGGCGCTGACACAATGGTTGTCGCGCGCCTATTTAGACTGCTCACTCGCCCTCTCCAAACAAAAATCACAATAAAAGGGACTTCTGCTCGCGATCGCTTGCGCGGTGAGCCAGTTGTTGCAGCTGCCAGCACGGTACACAGGGCGAACGCTGAATAACTTGTGGGCGTTTCCTCGCCCCCTGTTACGTTCGTTCCCGCACCCCGTAGCGTTCCCCACTGGCACCCCTTGTCTCTTTTGTTATCCCCTCGCGCCTCGAGTTTAAATGTTGCCCCTGAGTCTTCATTCGTTGCGTGAGTGGAATTCTCGCTGTAAAGGTTGACGTTACGCCGCATATATACACGCATAAGCGCTCGCGAAAGAGGCTGTCGAAGAGGAATTGTCGTCGGTGAAGACAAAAGACACAGGTGCCAGCCGGTGTACTGATGTTGCGGAAAACTTTAAGACACGTTATCGGCGTGGTTGCATAATTCCTCGCACTCACAATGCTGACCCAAGCTTGCTGATCAGCAGAGATTCCAGTACTGAAAGACTATTTCGCTTGAAATATACTATGAGCCTATATCTTCACGCCAAATCACCCCTCTCTTTATTTTTAGCTCGCCTACAAAATATGACACTAATAATCGTGTGCAAGAAATGCAGAATTAAGCTTGATCGTACTTATATTCGCCTGCTACTCAGATAAAAGTGAATAATATATGATCGAACACTGAAGCATTGAAGGTCAGTGCATGACTACCGCGATACCGTTAAAACAACCCGGTCCAGGTTGGCATGTCTTGCTACGGTGATCTCTATGCATAAAGCTCTATGATTTGTCGAAGGCCACCCTCGGCGGTGTATACCTTATCTGTGACGTTATTCTACCGAACAATGAAACTGGGGATTCCATCCTCTTTCCTTTGGGCGGCTTTCCGGTTTATTCGGAAAGGAAAAATGCTCCGGTACTAAGTACAATTTCATGCCTATTTAAAGCAGTGATTCTCAAACGGGGGTCTGCGAACCCCAAAAGGTCTGCGAAGAAAATCTTGGTGGTCTGCGATAGCTGTCTTTGATGAGAAAAAAAAAAGGGGGGGGGGGCGTATTTTGGAGGCGCACTATGTCCCAAAACAGACTCTCCCTCTGATATTTTTGTATGCTTTCCCGCAGAGCAATTCATAATTGTGGCGGAGCTGACTTCTGGCATAGAAGAGCGAATGCTTCGAAGGGAAGGAAGAATACTTAGAATAAAGACGCTGACTTGGTTTTCTCTTTACGAGATGGTTGTAACACTTTTGTTGCAGTTTTCTACGACATATGCACGTGAGCATACTTTTTCCAAGCTTGCATATTTGAAGAGAAACCACAGCTAGAAACAAGTTGAACGTGGTTGCAAACCTCCCAACTTATTGACAAGCTGGGGAGATGATATGGGTGTGGCGGTATAGTTTGACCATTATTTGCCTAAAAGAAATAAAAGGCACGTATTCGACGCTGCATGTTAAGTTAATTTATGACCAGGCCCATTTTTTCATCTCCCAGCAAGGGGTTCCTCATCACTGCTACTGGCCAACAAGTGATTTCGAAAACATAAATCACTGAGAATCACAATGTTAAAGAAAGCATGTCGTTATCAGATACATTCTGAGCTCTCCAACAAGTCATTTGCGAAACCGACCATTGTGACTTCGCACTGATTTGTCGCAATCCTTTAGGTCAGTGAGAACGTGTTACAACGCACAGAGGTGGTTGAGCTATATTTATATCCTCGATGTTCTTATGTTCCATTATAGAGTGACAATAAGGACGGTAATAAATGTATAGAAGAGTAGCTATTGTGCTTCTGCGCAGCGGTAACTCTAAATATCTTGCGTACCCATCACGACAGCACGGTATTCTGGCACACTTAAGCACGCAAACCTCTCTCACAAAATAAATAAAGAAAAAGTAAGCTTAGTTGTCTTTCCAGAGGTTTCGGTGACGCCTGCGTCTCCCATTCGCTAATTCACCGCCAGGTATACAGCTGCAACGCCTGCACCCTGAGCGTCACACCTTGCGTAGTTGCGCAGAAGCTGTCCGTGTTTTGTCATCACCTATTTTGGACCTGCTTTCCCGCTTTTCTTTGAATTGACCAGCCAACCGGTGTGAATAGTGTGAATAAATATAGTTCCCCGTTATCTGTTATTTCAATATTTAAAAAATGTGATTTCAACATTACAAGCCCCAGCGTAATTCCAAAAACTTATGCAACATTTGTCCCGCAAAAAAAAATATTTATCCTAATTACGCACATCAGCACACACGACAGAATTCAATAATGTAATTAGTATGTGCTTTGCTGAGTGACCAAAATATAGACTACCCACCGGAAGATATAGAAAGAACATTAAACAAGAGCATGTCAACAGAGTGTGAGTACTCGGTGGAGGTAGTCCTGTAGTCTATATACGACCTACCTTAGCCGCACGAATCTGTTGACTTCCGGATGACTAGCCAATGCGCTTCGAGGTCTCAGACGAATAGCGCAGCTTACGAAAGAGGAAATAATGCGAAGTGGTGCTCAAGCTGACTTTTGTTTCCTTAAACCCGCGCATTGTGGAATGTATATGAGCCGATGCATATGCAAACTCATTACTTGTTCAAGTTTAAATAGGTACCCTACGCATATATTAGAGTCAAAATATACCCGCCTCTTGAAATCTCAGATTTCTTTAAACCCTACTTAGTTCAGCTCTGTATGGAATGGCGAATACCTCCCAAACCTGGCGGAAAACTTCTTGTGAATTTATAACAACACAAATTATGTGACCTTTCATCTCATGCGTTCATGACGACGTCATACTGTTGGTCAGTTTCATTGAACATTCCCTTGTCTGTTTCCTTTTTAACTCCACAACTACATTGTTATCAGTGAAAACTGAGATAGAGAGAGAGAATAAATTTTATTGTGCGACCAGGCTTGTTCCCAAATGTGGTCGGCTTCCTCAGTCCAGGTACACAGTAAATTTTTTTACACCCTTAAGGGTGTAAACTGGCTTGTCGCCAGAGGAACACCCTATGGGTGTTTTCAGATACACCCTACTGAAAGGGTGTTATGTGAACACCTTAGACGAAGGGTGTCGAGCAAAATGAAAATTGGGGTGTTAGGGTGTTTTGAACTGGAACACCCTTTTTCAAGGGTGTTGGAAAAGTGTGCACCCTCTGCTATATCGATAGGCGTGCGCTGCAGTGTTCCGCTTCAGGGCAGGGTGAAGTCAATATATATGTGCACGAATATCCATGGCTATATATCGACTTCCACAGAGCACTAACGGGTATGCACGGCACATGTATGCACGGCACATGCTAATATATATAGTACTCAAAGCAGTGTGCCTGTCTATTACAGGATGCAGAGAATACACATATTTCAGCAACTTAATTTGCAGTTAAACCTGGCATGGCTAAATCAAGGTTCAGTCTTACCAAGTTAAAAATATTGTGCATATATAAAAACAACAGTGCTATGTAGATGCGCATCGCTCTCACTTTTAAAGAAATCTGTTTTTGATGCATTCTAGAAATAAATATGGATTTGTGCAGACTAAATATCAAGAACAAGTACCACAAGGCAGTTTTTCTCTAAATTATTTACATTTATTGCAAAATTTTACACATGCTTCTTGCAATGTGCATTATATCATAATGGCCCACATAATCTAATCTGACCATAACCAAGGCAGTGTAATGTTATTTAGATTAGCAAACAAGCAGCAAAAACTATTGCACAATAGTTCTGTCTTGCAGGAATGTAATATGGTAATAACTAAAAAGTTCAATGACCATGGGTTATTTGACAGCATGTGTGCCCGGCTATGCAAAAGGAGAAACATGCACGACTTGTGAAGCGAATGCAAAATAAATTAATGCGGCACTAAAAACGGCAATAATAATCAATAAATTTTCAATCACTAATACAATCAAACATAAAAAATATGCAGTAAGGCAAATGTGCAAGAACATTACCATATGGCATTATCATATGACTATGTGGATTTTACGACAATGTTTAAGAACTTCGCAACAACAGATCTTGGTGTTGTCTTTTCGAGCTCAAGAAAAAATCTTTCGAGGACGACAAGGGTGTTTAACGCTTTACAAGCATATTGAACATTGAACAACCAGTTTGCACACATAATTGCGACAAGTCCTTCCTCTGCATTAGTCACTTGAAAACACTTTGTCTGGTCTACCATCAGCCAGAAAAACTCTGCATCTTCAAGGACGGCCCCATTATAAGATACACATGGCGTTGCTGGCATGTCGTCCTGTATAGGCAAAGTGAAAATGCATAAGACTTCACTGAGTGGCTTACTTCAAATTCTGTACAGTTTAAAAAACAGGTTTAGAGCACTTTAAAAGACACAACTTGTGTTTTAGCATTACAGATGTGATATCTATCATTAACAACAATTTCAATGTGTGCAGCATAACTATGGTTTAACTGGGAGATTAAAACAATATAATGCATCTGACAAAATGAACTCCGCTGCACGCCATTGGCAGTGTTGTTCAATGGTACTTCGCTAGCTGTTGGTGAGTAGTGAGTAATAACATAGCAAGGGCAACTTAATAAGCTGTATTTCGTAAAGTTGCAGTGTTACGATAATTGAGAGCTCCATCTTTTATTACTTTGGTGAGTAAATGTACTAGATATTGCTTATAGCATGGAGATATTTAAATACACGCCAGTCTTTCACAACACATTCTAGAAACTGTAAACCTATTGCTATAGCTCACACTGCCATCATTTATTATATTACTGTAAGCCCTCGCGGGCAGTTTCAGGGGTGGGAATGCACAATATACAATATTGAGATACAATGCATAGCATAGAGGGCAGCGGCAAGTTGGTATTCATACATTGCAATGACGAGGTGGTAGGTATTTTACAATAATAACGGCAGAGCTGGTTTAAGCTTTTCATTGCACCTGGTAGTGCAAGCAAAAATCAGCATTTCCATGAACTGGTACACGCTCTCTCGTACTATTTATGCACTGTGCACAAGAAAACTGCAATGAAACTTTTCCCCTGTCTAAGAATAAACCTCTGGCGCAGACACTTTGCCATTTCTTTTTGCAGAGAAGTGAAATGTTTTTTTAGCCTTTTTATATTTTCAGAACGGAAAATATCAGGACCACCCATCTTAGACAAATGATAAGCTGTCTACTTGGGTATTTTAAGATGTTTGCAGAATTTTTACGACCAGATTCTGCTTTGGCGCACCATTCGATTTAAGTTTCACCATTTCCGCTCCACGGGTCATTTCGGTATTATGCTGTGCTTCGTGCCGGCCAGGTGCGATTACTTATGATTTCCCACTAGAACTTTGATATATACGGCACTAAAGCCCAAAATTAAAATGCTAATTGAACAGTTTTAAATTTGTCACGTGGTCGTCATTTTAGCTGCAGAAAGTTATTTTCGCTTCGCCATCTAGTTTGTGCGAAAACGACAGGAACCAGCGTATCATAGACTTTTTATTTTAAAAAAACTGCAATGGTTAAAAAAAGGCACCCTCCTAAAATTGCGTGAGTGCACGCAAGTTTGTGTCGCACGCAAAAAAAAAAAACATAACCAGGGCCTTGCATGCCAGCGTGCGAAAAGCGCAGATAATAAAACAATTTCTTCAATACAATTTTTTTAATTTAAATAATACTTCAAATAAAATACTTCAAAATTTATTAATTCATTCCCTGCTATTCCACAACACCGATTTCACCCGCACCTTCCGCGAAGAAACACTGCGCTTGACTCAAGTCCCCCTGCTTTGCTGCTCACAATCACACTTCCTCTTTCACCCACAGCATACGTGTCCCTAGCCGTAAGTAATATTCCAACAAAATGTACTCAAATCAACATAAGCCGGTAAAACTTAAAAAGCAGCTAGATCGTAACATCCGCAAAGGATTTGTACCATATTCGATAACTAATCTAGAGAAGAGCATCAGGCGTTAGGACTTAACATCGGACTTCTAGAATGACATCAGCTGATAACAAACTCAGACATTTCGTGCCGTTTTGCTCTCGCTGCCAAAAATCACTCGCGCCAACAGTTGCAACTGATCATCAAAACTAAATAACTGATAATTTAAATATTTATAAAAGAGCATTTAATCTTAATAATATTAAACAATAAGAACGTAAAACTCAGAAAATTTACCTGTGACGATGAACATGACGGCGCTTCATTCCCGCTACTTTCTTGCTGTGCCATAAGAACGATTTTCGACATATCGGGTATGCTGTCTTCAGTAGCGAGGTCGACAAGTTCATTGAACAGAGGATCCATTACCTGCAAACCAACCCCGTATATTGTCAATGAACTGAAAAAGATGTATGAGGGTTTGTTCGCTACTGTATGTTCCTAGATCGCGAAGACACGGCTCAGCTGCCACACGCATGGCCTGTTGGAGACACGGCCTCCGGAATGCCTTGCACACACACACACACACACACACACACACACACACACACACACACACACACACACACGCGCGCGCGCGCGCGCGCATGCACGCACGCACGCGCACACAAACACGCACGCAGGTACGCATAGGCATCTTTACTCGAAATAAATTTTCGACTAATCCCCTCACTATGCAATTCTCCTCACGTACACTTGAGACAACTCCACAACTCGCATCATACACGCTATATATGTTAATTCAACAATACAAAACACTCGAGAGCGCTCCAACTTACAATACACTCTAGATCGACGATAACACAGGTTTGTGTACGATAAGAACAAAAGTGACATTCTTGAAAATATTAAAGCAAGCGCCTCACTACGTTCTCATGCTTTATTTGTGCATTCTATGAAAAGTGGTGTGCGCTGCCAACCGTTCAAAATCAACGAACTTTGTTGAAGCGAGTGTAGTTCAGCCGCATGCTCAGCGAACTAAGTTCAAAAGTGCACGGCGAACTCGTTCGGCCACATCGCAGCCGATGTTATCTCGAGTATCAACACGTTTTTTTTTGTTGTGGTGTGTGGGAGGGGTGAGTTAAATTACATCAAGGAGAGGTTAATGCGGTCAGAACGTGAACACAAGGCTTGCGACCATTGACAAGCCTTCAGTGAGGCCTAGCTACGATGTCGATACGCGAAACATGTAGTTGCCTTTCGACATACTGTCAATTCGGGCACGCGTACACATGTATGAGGCAGACAATAAAAACGCATGAGTTGTAAAATAATACAAAAACTTGCACGCTTAGTTTTCCTCTTAGCAACACTGTTTCGGCAAACCGGACCCCACTAACAATAGTACAGAAGCGCACATCCCCAGCCTTTAAATACGAAACTACGCAAACTCGCAGCAAAAAAAAAAATAAATAAAAACGGGCCTCAGCTTTCAACGACGATTAAAAGCACTTATCGCTCTCAACAAATACACAGTTGAACAAATAAGCAGTCACTTACCTGAAAGTTGCTGCAAGACAGTTGAACTTGCGACCCAAGGACAGGACATGTGGCAATCGCATGTTTGAGGGCGACCACGGAACCTTCTTCCAAGTGGTACGTCCGCTTTATCTGAATGTGCGGTACAGTCAGCAGACAACGGATCGGCGGCATCTCGGATGACGCAGCGCACAAAATTGACGTTCCAAAGTCCTCAGCGCGAGTGAAGAAAATGCACGCTAAATACTATTCAAACGCTTCAGCACTCTGCGAACGGCGCAGATAGTCACGTTTTCAACGGCGCAGTTATCAAAATGGCGCGCACTCACGAGTACTGACGGAGGAGTGAAAGCTTGCGGGTATGGAAAGAGATGCCGAGAAAGTGCGGAAGCATCACACCTTCTATATGCAATGGTATCTCCCTCCGCGCTCGCTTCTCTACGTTGAATTTGAGGGGGCGGAGAGGGACAGGGGGTAAACCATGCTTACATGGACACGACCTCTCTGACGCGTTTGCTGCTGGAGTCGTCACTTGCAAGCGAACGTAACCTTCCAAAGACGCTGCCACTCTTTCTCTCTCGTCTCCTTACATCTTTCATCCCCTCTTCCCGAAGGCGCTGTGCCCTGCCACGGCCGCCGGAGAAAGAAGTAAAAAAGAAGGGCCAGCAGCCGTCGTCGTGCTAACAGCGCTCCCGAAAGGAAGTGGTAATGGCGGCGTCTCCTTCTTGATCAAGCACATCCTATATTCGAGTAACGCGTGAGAACGGCGTGCGCTCGTCGTGGCTGTTGAATTTGAGCCTTTTGAACTTTCCGGAATGTCGTTTGAGTGTCGTTTGTAGAAAAATTATTTCAAAAGTACCTCTCCTTCTTTCGATACCAAATTTGTTCCACATGTAAATATAAAAATATTTACACACATGTTGAACCTTTGCGAGTGTGTGTTCATTTTTTGTGCATTTTCTTGATTGTTCTTGTACAGTTTTCTGCGAAGCAAAAAGTGTATATCATGATCTTTTCATATGAAAATAAAGATATTACAAAAAATAACGTTGTGACAATGGCTTTATAAAGGATTTCCTTGTTTGTGTGGTGTCGATGACACCATAATCTTAAAAAATGCAGTACAACATACACTTTGCTCCACTCAAGTCTTTTTAATATGTAAGCATGGATGCATTTAATACTCGTGCCACACGGGCAGAAAAAATGGCATTTATCTCCTATAATGCTTTCAGATTGAAAGCCATTCGCGTGGTGCCACATCACGGATGAACGAAATCGCAATCGCCCAAATGCCGTTCGTCCTCTAATGTCATCGCCAGGACTCATTTGATTGAGAAATATAAAACGACATTTGATTCGACTAGAAGGAAACTTTTCGCGTATCTTATTTACACCAATCACTCAAACAACTGCTTAAAACTTCTCTTCAGCTGGTATATATGCAATGTAAATAAATGCGCCAGGCGCCATTTCCTTTTTATGCTGTGGATCTGACTAGCTTTGGCTTAAGTTGCCATGGTTGGTTGCAACGTCGTGAAAGAAACTAATGAACGAAAGCTAACGGCAGTGTAATATGCTTATTTATTCTTTCAATTATCATTGGATGTGTATGAAGCTTGTAAACGCTTGTTTATTTTTTATTGCTATATATACTCACCCAATGCTCACTAGGAAGGTGGTGCGATCGAAATCATCAAGTCAAATGTCATTCGCTTTGGACATAACAGCAACGCCGAGAAAAAATGTCATTCGGGAACTGAGTGCTCGTGTCTTTGCTATATATACCGAATGTCATTTTCTGTGCCCGTGTGGCACGGGTACACCCTTAAGTCCTTCCCTTAACACCCTTCATCTTGTTCAACAACACCCTTTTTGCCTGTACACCCTTCTTGTAGGGTGTTCCGAAAGAAAAAAAGGGTGTGAAATTTTGAAAAAAGGGTGTAAATTGCGATAACACCCTTTTTACACCTATAAGGGTGTAAAAAATTTTACTGTGTAGTCATTGCTATAGCTGCTTCAGTCCAAGCACTGTCGACCGAACCACAGTACGTTTCGAAAGCCTTGCGTCAGCAGCAGAGCCTTTTACACGGTCTTTCAGTCGTTGCTGTTCTGGTTCTGCCTTGTTCGACCCGTTAAAGCCTGATGGTGGAGGTGTCGGTGGCATGAACGGGTAATTTCTTGCACCAAATCACCATATGGGTCAGGGTGGCAGGCATTTCCGGCGTTCCATGCAGGTAGATTCTACCCTGCAGTCTTCTGCCGCTTGTTCCCTGTTGAGCTTCTTATGTGCTGGTGGGTATAGTCTTCTCTGGTTCTTGTAGTAGGCCGAAATGTCCGAGTACTTCCTTGGTGTGCGGTTGAATTCTCCGGGACAGACCATGATCCGTGCTCTCTGCATGCGCGTCAAACAACATGAAATATGAAAAAAAAGCGTCAAAAATGCAGTTTTGTTTAATATAGAGTAAGAGTCGATAACGTCGGTGGACGCCTTTCGAACGTCAGTGCTCTCTACTATTGTAGAAACCACTCCCGGGCCCTACTTTCACTTTGGGACGTCCGCGAATGAGTAAGTGCTTGGTTAATATTTCCCGATTTTTTGGTAAAATTAACAACTCTGTTTTTGCCCAGACTCCACAAAAAGAATAAAGGAAGATGTCATGATATGTTGTAGATACTGATGACCGTCATGTGAGTAAACACTTAGAATTCCTCCATGAACCATCAGTGAAGATTGAATATGCGGTGACTCCAGTAGAGCGGCGCCTACTTTGTGGGGCTGAAGCATCTGTGCACATGTAGTTGCAAATATCGTCTGACCACCTCGCCCTACCACGCAAGCTGCGTGGCACTGGTGTTTTGCCCTGAATTTCGTCCTGATGTGTTCTAATATCACCGTAGTGGTAGTCTGAAAAGATCGCTTTTATCTCTTTCTTACAAACCCGCATTTTATCATTAAATATATTCATTAACATTAGTTGTCAATGTTAGTCAACAAATTGGGGTCACTCAATTTTTCATTTTATTTTTGTCAACGTTGTTTCTGTTTGTCTAGGTAGTAATGCCCCGCCACGGTGGTCTAGTGGCTAAGGTACTGGGCTGGTAGGCTAAGGTACTGACCCAAAAGTAATGGGATGTAATCGCGGCTGCGGCGGCTGCATTTTCGATGGAGGTGAAAATGCTGTAGGCCTGTGTGTTCAGATATAGGTGCACGTTAAAGAACCCAGGTGTTCTAAATTTCTGGATCCCTCCACTATGGTGTCTCTCATAACCATATGGTGGTTTTGGGACGTCAAACCCCACATATCAATCAATATATAGGTTAATGATAATGAATCAAAGTAAAGATAAACCAGTATCAAGCGTCTCGAGACAGTGTGCTCGACAATAGGTAGTAATGGTAAGGTAACAAAGATAACATAAAACAACGTCAATTTTCTGAAGATAGTGTGCTCGACAGAAGGTAGTAATGATTATGCAAGAAAGTCACGATAAACCAACGTCAGGTTTCTGAAGAAGGGGTGTGCTCGACAGTAGGTAGTAATGACAGTGTAACGAAGGCAAGATAAACCAAAGTGATATGTCTCAAGACAGTGTGCTTGGTCGTCTAGTTATCAGCGCCGAGCTTTGATTGTGTGCGTACGATGGTGACATCACTGCCCTTAATCGGTAGAACTCTTCACGACAGAAATGACAACGAAGATTCAGAAACGTAACAAATTACCGTACAGCAAAACTTGAAGCGCTGTCTTTCACCACGCGTATGGAAGATATTGTTCAGATAAATCGATCAAGGTCACATGTGACATGTTACAACGCTGCGTTGCAGATACATGCTTGAACACGGGAGGAAAGCGAGACGCGTTGCGTTGCCGGGGGTTGAGGAT